TTCTCAGCCATATCATTGTTATGAAAGACAAAGAATTTTTGAAGATTATAGGCCAGTTGTGTATAATAGAATGCCCCTCAATTTGGGTTTGTCTGATGATTTCCACATTATTAGTTTTAGGTTAAACATTAGCAGGAATGCTATGTAAGTGATGTTGTATCCTCAGTGCATCGTGTCAGGAGCCAGATGGTGTCAGTTTATTTCATTATTTGTGATTTAAATGTTGATCACTTGGTTCAGGTGGAATCCATCAAATTTTTTACCTTTTTTTCTTTATAATAAATAATCTGTAGGGAGATACTTTGAAACTAATATTCTGTTCCCCCAACAAATTTGTATCCATTGATAATTCTTGCCTAAATTAATTATTAATTTGGTGGAAGTAAATCTTTATCCTGAAAGAGGAAAGATTTTTCTCTTGTAATCAGTTGTGTACTTCTGTTTTGTTCGACCTTCTGTGAATGAGAGTTACCTGTACTCAATGTTGTCATTTTATTTCTATGTGATTTTACCTCCCATGCCACTCCTCACCCCACTTCCTTCTGGCTTCTCCCCAGCCATTCTCCAGAGACTCCCTCACCAAAGATTTCCACAACAGTGGACAATTCATACTTGTCCTGCTACTTAATTTTGCAACCACATATGATACAGTTGACCCTGTTCACCTTCTTAAAAACATTTTTCTCTTGACTTCTGTAAGACCACCTTCTCCTGGTTGTCCTCTGGTCTCACTGGCCATCTCTTTTCCGTCTCCTTTGCCGGCTACTCTTGCTACCCAGTCCTTAAATATTGACGTTCTTTAGGGCTCTATCTATCCTAGGTTCTATTTTTATTTTGCACATCCTACTGGTAGTTTGGATTGCCACTCATGTGCCCTTAAAAGTAAATTGTAAAGACCGGAATCCATTTTATCAGTATTTTAATAATTATATCTGAGTGGAGGTGATTTTTATAATCCTACCATTATTTTCCAAATTCCTTACCAAAAAACATATATTACCTTAGCACACCTCAAATTCAACCTATCCAGTGTGTAATTCATCTAAACCTGTTCCTCTTCTAGTAAGTATTCTCTATTTTAGTAATTAGACTCACCAATCACTTAGGTGCTGAAATCTTGACATTTTACTTGACATTATCCTTAACTCTTTATTCTCTGTTATACCATCACTTGGCCCTATCCCTCCACCATGTAGTCTGTCTATAAGTGTTTCACTTAGACTTTATAAATAACCTCTCTAATCCATCTACTCTCTATTTGCATTGCTACCATTCTGGACCAAGCTACCATCATCTTACTTTTCACTATACCCTTTCTTCCATTTTGAAATTTGAATCATATATATGTTTTACTTAATTGGAATATATGCTAAAAGTTTTAAAAAGAAATCCTAGTAATTCATAGGCATTCAAAACATAACCATCAACTTAGGAGAGGTCGTTATACTTACCTTCATAGTAAATTGTAAAGATAGATATCCCAGGAAAATGAAAGGCAGGAATATTATTCTGCCTTTTATCAGTTCTATTTCAAAGTTTAGGGTGTTAAAAATTACTTAGTGTGTAACAATGTGTCTGCGCTGTCTTGTTCTGGACAACTATGCTCATTTCATATCTCAGTGAGGGACTCAACATTTTCCTAAATGTTAACTCAATCTTTTTTTTTACTATGATTATTGGGGTGGTGTAGGTAGAGATGGAAGATTTTGATGCAAATATTGAAGAACAGAAGGAAGAAAAGAAAGATGCAGAGGAAGAGGAAAACGAACTGGTAGGAGACAGACCAACCACTTTGAACAAAATGTCTCTTTATTCAAATTCTTAGGGGTTCAAATGCAGATCTCTGGTCAGATTATTACTGTCAATATACACCTTAATGGTAAAAGTTTCCATAATCATCTTCAAGGAGACTTTTGGATACTTTTTCTCCTGACCAAAAGAACCCTCTACTGCGTTGTTACAAGAAAATTTTAATAATGCTAAGAATCTTACCCTTTTACTCACTCATCTATTTGTGGGTGGCTTTAGGGTAGTATACTTTTTCAAGAAAATCAGTTGTATTTGGAAGGGCATTCTTACATCCCAGCAGATATGTGGTATAGCCTACCCAACATATGCATCATTGTCTCTTTGCTACAAGATCTCAAAATTGAGTTTTTGTCAACTGAGGCAGAAGAACTTATTGAATGAGGAGGCAGAGGGTTGCAAAAGACTGCTGGATTTATTCTTCTGCATTTTAGGAAAATGATTTGATGTGTATGCAATGCATTCTGTTTAGGCTGATTAGAGGCTTGTGTAGTGTGAGTTCAAAGTTCCCGTGTACCTACTCTAAATACTTTTGATCACACCTCCTAGAGATGTTTGCCTTACCCTGTCATTCATGAATATGCGACCTATAGAGTTATAGTACTTTTCAGTGTTTGCCGAATGAGGTACAGAGATTAGCAATGCCTTGGAATAGTGTTGCTTTTTTAATTCAGAATATTATTTGGTTTATTTAATATTTCAGCCTTTGCAAAAGCTCCTTCTCATATTCTTCTGAAAATGTACAAAGTGGGAACCTTGATTCCTACCCCCTAGAGAATACAGACTCTTTAAGAAGTGGTCCCATTAAACCCATATATGATATACAGGACTATGGATAGCAATTGTATGTTTATATAGAGATGGTGTCAACCTCTACATTCCTAGATTTCTTATGTGGATTAAAAAATAAGCTTTAAAGTTGATGTCATTTGAGTCTCAGTATGTTGTTTTTTTCTTTAAACTAAGTATTATTCTTAATTAAGTTGTATTTTGACATCTATGACCTAAAATGTAGGCAGGAAATTCACTTTAAAGGTCCACACTGTTCTGGAATATAGCTAATGACCTTTTTAGCTGCTTTCAGTGTGTGTGCTAGAAAGTGATCATGTGAGAAGTATATATATATATATATATATATATATATANCTCATGGCAGCCCAGCTCCAGGTTGAGCTGTTGTTCAGCATCTTAGCTGTGGAGGGCAGTGTCACTGGCCCTCATATGTGGGATCCGAACCGGGACCCTCTGGCATCCCAAGCCAGTTCTTAACTATTGCGCCACTCGGCCGGCCCAATCTTTTCATTTTCTTGATTTTAATAGATTTACATTACTTAAACTTTCTCCAGTTAAGGTTAAAAGTGGACCCCAAATCATTATGAATTATATTACCTTAGGATGAGTGAAGCGAGCTAAAATTTTTAATTATTATCATATAAATAGTAATTTTGTTCAACTGCTGGAATCCTAGGAGAAAGAAGAACTTACCCAGAGGAGCGAATGCCCCTGCCAGCTCCTTCACTAAGCCACCAGCCACCCCCAGCTCCACGGGTTGAGAAGAAGCCTGAATCTAAGAATGTGGACGATATTTTGAAACCACCTGGCCGAGAGAGTAGACCTGAGAGAGTGAGTCCTATGTAGTTAACTAGTTTTCTTGCAAATCAGAAGCCTGTAAGAGATCTTTTTAATATCCTGAACAGAATTTCTCTATTTCTCTGTGACATACAGATTCAAAGCATCTTACCATCTCCAAATCATCATATTATCTCATAAATTGCCTACCCTATAGAATCTAAGAAGTTAGAGCTTATTTGCTTGACAGAGAAGATGTTGAAACTTTAGAAAAGAATTTATAAGAACTCAATTAATTGCATTTTGAAGAGCGGGAAAGTAGATTTGGTTTTATGATATATGGAACAAAAAGAGAAAGAATTAGGAGACTTGATTAGCTTAGGCTTATTTTCCTGCTGGCTTCCCGATATATACATTCTTAAATTTATATTGCAGAATAATGAGATTCGATTTCAGTAAACTGGTAGTGGAGATGTCCATCAGATATTTTGACTCCATATATGTGTATAAGTCATTTTAAAGTCTATTTCATCTATTATTAGTATAGCTATATAGCTACTCCAGCTTTTCTATGGTTGCTATTTGCATGATATATCTTTTTCCATCCTTTTACTCTCGATATGTTTGTGTCTTTGAATCTAAATTGTGTCTCCTATAGAAAACACATGTTGGATCATGTTTTTTTATGCAGTCTGACAATTTCTGCCTTTTAATTGGATTGTTTAATTCATTCATGTTTAATGTTATTGATATAGTTGGCTTAGTTCCATTTTTGGATTGTTCAGTTGAATAGAAACTCAGTTGATTTTTGCATATTGATCTTATATCCTGCAACATTACTGAACTCATTTATTCTAATAGATTTTTCGTGGATTCTGTAGGATTTTTTGTTTTTCATGATCATATCGTCCGCAGATAAAGGTGGTTTTACTTCTTCCTTTCCAATCTGAATGCCTTTGATTTCTTTTTCCTGCCTAGTTGCCCTGGATAGAACTTCCAGTACAGTATTAAATACATGTGAGAGTGGACATCCTTGTTTTATTCCTGATCTTAGAAAGAAAACTTTGTCTTTCACCATTAAGTATGATGTTAGCTGTGGGTTTTCAATAGACGCCCTTTATCAGGTTGAGAAGGTTGCCTTCCATTCCTACTTTGTTGAATGTTTTTATCATGAGAGAATGTTGGATTTTATTGAATGCTTTTTGTTGTTAAATGAGATTTTCTTTTTTCATTGTCTGTGATTTTATTCTATTGTATGTGATTTTTGTTTTTATTCTGTTAATATGATGTATTACATTAATTGCTTTGGTCATGGTGTGTAATTCTTTTTATATGTTGCTGAATTTGGTTTGTTAGTATTTTGTTGAGGATTTTTGTATCCATGTTCATAAGAAATATCTGTAGTTTTCTTGTGATATCTTTGTCTGGTTTTGGTATTTGGGTATCTGCTTGATTTGAAATGCTGGCCTTCTAAAATGAGTTAGGAATTGTTTCTTCCTTTTCTGTATTTTGGAAGAGTTTGAAGAGTTGGTATTAATTTGTTAGAATTCTGTGATGTAGCCATCTGGGCCTGGGCTTTTATTGTATTTTTTTATTACTAATTCAATCTCTTCACTTATCATGGGTGGATTCAAATTGTCTATTTCTTCTTGAGTCAGTTTCAGGAGCCTGTGTCTTTCTAGGGATTTGTCCATTTCATCTAAGTTATCTAATTTGTTGGCATACAATTGTTCATAGTACTCCTTTATAACCCTTTTTTATTTCTGTAAGGTTGGCAGTCATGTCCCCTCTTTCATTTGATTCTAATAATTTGAGTCTTCTCTCTTTTCTTTCTTAGTCAGTCTAGCTAAAGGTTTGTCAATTTTGTTGATCTTTTCAATGAATAAGCTTTTGGTTCCATTGATTTTCTTTATTTTTCTGTTCTCTATTTTATTAACTTCTCCTCTAATATTTGGTATTACCTTCTTTCTGCTTGCTTTAGGTTTAGTTTGTTCATCTTTTTCCAGTATCTTAAGGTTGAAGGTTATTGTTTTGAGATCTTTATAACTATAATTTCCTTAATATAAGCATTTATAACTATAATTTCCTTATAAGCACTGCTTTAGCTGTATCCCATAAATTTTTGTATGTTGTGTCTTCATTTTTTTTTAATTTCAAAATATTTTTTTATTTTTCTTTTGATTTCTTCCTTGACCCATTGGTTATTTAGGAGTATGGTGTTTAATTTCCGCATACTTGAATTTCCCAAATTATTTCTGACTATTAATTTCTAATTTTATTTCATTGTGGTCAGAGACATACTTTGTATTATTCCTATCCTTTCAAATTTATTAAGGTTTGCTTCATGATATATATCATGTGGTCTGTCCTGGAGAATGATAGATCATTTTTAACTGTAAGATTTCATTGTAAAAAAAAATCTTCTGAGTGATTATTGTTTCATTGTGTTTCAGATTGTTGTTATAATGAGAGGATTGCCTGGCAGTGGAAAGACACATGTTGCAAAACTTATTCGAGTGAGTATGAGAAAGCCAACGAATCAGTTACTTTTGTTAGCCACTTGCCTTTTTATTCTTAGCAAGCAGCAAAAGACACATATTTCTCATTTGATCCATTTTAGTTTGCCCATGTGGTAGATACTATCTTACATAAATTTTGATCTGCTTTGACGATTAGTTTTGCCTCTGCTTGATTTGAAAGCACCAGAAGATTGTATTATTATTTAGCCAAGAGAAAGAACTTTAGTGTGAACATTCATTAATTTATTCTATAAATTCTATTTTGCTTTCTTGACGATATGATTCTTAGGATAAAGAGGTAGAATTTGGAGGACCTGCACCCAGAGTTCTAAGCCTGGATGATTATTTCATCACTGAAGTGGAAAAAGAAGAAAAAGATCCAGATTCTGGGAAGAAAGTGAAAAAGAAGGTATGGTATTGTATATTCCTCTCAGATTACATCCTGATTCATTAACTATAGTGAAAGGAAAACGTGTTCAGAAAAACATGGGGCTTTCTTTGAGGACAAAGACTTTTCTCTTTTTTTTAACACAAACTTTAATACTCAGGTATAGTATGAATACAAAGTCATCTCTATTGAGATGCTAACCAGGGAAGAGGTTTAGGATGACTCTTTGCTTTTGCTAACTCCATATCTCTCTGGGGGAATCATAGGTAATGGAATATGAATATGAAGCTGAGATGGAGGAGACCTATCGCACTAGCATGTTCAAAACTTTCAAAAAGACTCTGGATGATGGCTTTTTCCCCTTCATCATCCTGGATGCCATCAATGACCAAGTTCGACATTTTGACCAGTTTTGGAGTGCAGCAAAAACCAAAGGATTTGAGGTATAGACTTAAAAGATTTTTAGAGTACTTTGTGTTATCATGTAAGTACTGCATTTGTTTGCATAATCATTATTCGTTCTTCCTTAGGTGTATTTGGCTGAAATGAGTGCAGATAACCAGACTTGTGGCAAGAGAAATATTCATGGAAGAAAGCTTAAAGAAATAAATAAGGTGATTTGTAGAAACCTAGAAGGTGTTGTATTCTAAACTTGATTTAGGCTGTATCATCACTGTTGTCTGGAAGTTCTTTTTATCCCCTCTACTTTTGAAATATCTTTTCTATCTGCTTTATTAAGTGTTTCTTACCCTTTGTAGCTAATTGAAAGTGGTGACCTAGCTCTGCCAGGAACTAGCCTGTTAGACTTTACAGTATTAATTAACTTGTATTGGATGCTCACTTGGTCTTTGTTTGAGTAGAGATAACTTGACCTCCTGAATCTCTCTATAGATGGCCGATCACTGGGAAACTGCACCTCGTCATATGATGCGCCTGGACATTCGTTCTTTGCTGCAAGATGCTGCTATTGAAGAGGTGAGTGTTCTTTGGCTCAAGTGCATAAATGACCTTTTTTTAACCATTTTTTACTTTGAAAAGTTTTTGAACTACAGAAAAGTTGCATGAATAGTACAAGAATACCTGTACAACTTAATCAATGAGGTTCACCAATTAATATTTTGGAATATTTTTCTCTATATAGTCTCCTCCCTTCCTTTTCCTCATTATTATTATGACTACTATTACTATTGTTATCAATATTTTTGTGGAAACCTTTGAGAGTTAAGTTGCAGATCTCATAACCCTTCACCCCTAAATATTTCAGTAGGTATCCCAGGAACAGGGGCATTCTCTTAAAAAACTAGAAGTCTCGATGATCAAATTCAGGAAATTTAACATTGATAAAATGCTATACCAAGTAATATAAATTTCCTGAATTATCTCATATACAGTCCATATTCAGATTTTACTAGTTATTCCCATAATTGCTTTTATAGCAATTTTTAAAAATCCAGGATCCAGTCCTTTAAGATAAAAAGTAGTTTCTCAGCCACATCATTGTTATGAAAGACAAAGAATTTTTGAAGATTATAGGCCAGTTGTGTATAATAGAATGCCCCTCAATTTGGGTTTGTCTGATGATTTCCACATTATTAGTTTTAGGTTAAACATTAGCAGGAATGCTATGTAAGTGATGTTGTATCCTCAGTGCATCGTGTCAGGAGCCAGATGGTGTCAGTTTATTTCATTATT